TTAATTTATTTGACAGACAGAGATCACAAGTAGGCACAGAGGCAGGCAGAGAGAGAGGAACGGAAGCAGGCCTTCGGCTGAGCAGAGAGCCCAACGCAGGGCTCCATCCAGGACCCTGGGATCATGACCTGAGCCAAAGGCAGAGGCTTTAACCCACTGAGCCACCCAGGCACCCCAAATGTCTGACTCTAGATTTCAGCTCAGGTTCTGATCTCAGGGTCGTGAGATTGATTCCCTGGTCAGGCTCCCTGATAACCATGGAGACTGCTTAAGATTCTTTCTCCCTCTCCCTGTGCCTCTCCCCTCTACTCGTGCTTGCTCTCTCTTAAATATACGTATCTATATTTCACATTAGAAGCTTAGTGAAAGCTAAACTAAGTATTTTAAGTCAGTGTTTGTCATTTCCTAGTCATGGTATATAGCCAGTCAAGAATTCAACTTTACAATTTACGGTTTTGCTGTCATTAATATTCTCCTAATCTTTTCTTTTTATCTAATTTTACTTAAGCAAATCACTTCATTTACCTATGCTCATATTTCCTAACTTACCCAGGAACATTTGATTAATGAAATCTATTGTGGAATTCACTAGTGTAATAATTTCCTTTATATCTAAGCTCTCTTATTATGTACATTGCTTAAAGTTACATAATTATTTTCATTCTAGATTTTATTATTATATATAACCATTTTATATGATTTAAGGAATGAAGAAATTTAAGAACTTTAATGTACAAAATTAAATTAAGTATTTGTTGTATTTATGATATGTTAAGGACCTAGGAGAATACAAAAAGTTAAAACCAAAAGTAAGAATTATAAATGTATTAAGTGGCATAAGTGTAAAGTGTAAATAGTACTCACAGCATAAGCAGTGTCCTAAAGGAAAGTAAAGGTACTGTGTTTTTCTAGAATTCCAAAGCATATAACATTTGAAAATAATCAATACTTTGTAGTGAAACATGTTTGTAAGGAGATTAATTTAGAAAGTGAGACAAAAATCTTACCTTTTTCTGCTGATTAAGTTAGTTAGTCGCCTTAGCTTTTGTTATGTCCTGAGGTCAGTTATAGTCGGCAAGATTCGATGGATTTTCATACATTTTTTCCTATCATGAAACAATTATATCTTTATTCATAAAATTTCTTGGAATCTGTAAATCTCTATAAATGAGATTTTCTTAATGTAAGTAAAAACCAATACATAATTGTGTTTTTTAAAACCATAATAATAAAACTCTTCTGTTTTAAATCATGTTATCTTAATCCAGGCATTGATGCTTTAACATTTCATCTAAAACATTATTATTTTCTTTGAATATTTTGTTTTTGTAGTTGGAAAATTTGTGAGAGTGGTTGATAAATTACCCAACTTGCAACAGTAGTTTTATTCATGGAAATCAGTAATTCTCCCTCTTTAAAGAATTTGCACTTAGCTATCAAGAAAAATAGCCAATGTCAAAATAACATCATAAGCATCATTAATGTGACTGAAGGGAATGAAAAAAAAATTGAGTAGGAGGAGAGAAATGAGAAGCTCGAGAGAATGCATTTCAGCCTTCAGAACTTTCCTAAATACTAAGAAGTTGCTAGAGTGTTAAGATTATAAATCTCACTCAAGACTATACAGGGCAAATTACCCATGTCCTGAAACCTCAAATTTTTTTGTGCATAAGGTGTCTTTTACTGAATTAATGTTTCTTGTATAAATGAAAATAAGCTTTCAAATGAAACTGAAAAATTATTAATTTTTTCCCTAAATCAAGTAAAATATGCCAATTTTTCTTACAAAATAATTTACCAAAGAACTTTGTTTTCTGGTAGTTATTACATGTACTGTTTAAAAAAATTATATTCAAAATGAAGAGAATAACTCATTTATTTTGATAGGACATAAGGCCAAGGAGTTCTCTAGTGTTAACTTTTTTTTTAAAACATGTTAACAGATAAATTTTTCAGCTATGCCTTGAGAAAAAGAAGTTCTACATTATGTACTTTTCTCAGATGAGAAATGAAATATCAGGGGTTTTTTTTGGGTTTTTTTTGGTTTTTTTTTTTTTTTTTTTGGTGATTGGTGTTCTTTGCCTGGTGATAGAGGAGGGTATTAAGCTGAGATCTATATTTATATCATGTTCTTTGAGAATTTAAAATGTGTAAAGATGAGGATCACATACTTTATCTGATGTTTACTTTCCTTTAAAATACGTTGTGTGGAATCTATAAATATTAATGACAACAACTAAAACTTATCCATTTTCTTCACTGTAAAAGGTGCAACTTTTCCACTTAGAATAGGCTGTTGTTTGATAGCTAAATCTGGCAGTATTATTTGATGATGATTTTCTGTACTTAAAGCCTTTGATTTCTTACTGGGTAAAATGTTACATTGTTCTCCATTAGAATATTAAAATTATGGTTACAGAATGATATATAAGAGCATCATTTAATATTCTTTTGAGTTTTATACTATTGTAGGGATTCCTTTTTATCCCTTACCCTTAAGTCATTAATACACATGTATGCACACACTTATGTGATTAGTTATTAAATTAATTGAAGTTTCTATTTGATATGTAACCCAGAACAATACTGTTGTAATTTTGAAGCCTGTAAGTCATATAGAAACCCATAAATTATGGAAAAAAGTCATAACCTGGGGAAGAAATATACCTGAATTTAATTAGATAATAATATATTACAATAGTATAACTATGATGTGAACCTTTATACATCTAAGAATTTTCTAAATTTAATTTCATTCTTATTAATTATTCTTAAATAAAAGTATTCATGCTTCACTGAGAATTTAGGTACAGAAACAAATAATAACATCTAGATTTATCCCCTCTTCATAGGTTTGCTCTTAACATTCTTACTCATCTTTCCTTAGAGGAGGGGATTATTATGTTAGCTGGGAAGTTATGGGACATGATCTTGGAGATTAGAAGGAATGTATTAATTAATAGATATAAAAAAGGAGTTCTGTCTGTATTCACTACAATCAGAGATAAGTTATTATGATTATTTTATGACTTCAGGTAGCCTTCCCTTTGCTGCTTTATTACAATTTACTAGTAGTAAATACTCTCATTAAAACAGGTATTTTCAAAGTGAGTTTCCTGGATCAGCAGTAGCAAACCACCTGAGAATTTGTTAGAAGTGCAGATTCTCACAGTACACCCACACCTGCTGAATCAGAAGTTATGGGGCTGGGGTTCTAGGAGTCTGTGTTTAAACAGCATTACCAATGATTAATGATATACTATATGTTGGCTAATTAAACATGATAATAAAAAAGTAAAGAAGGTGCTTACTTAGTTCGGGAATAACAGAGTAAGGGAGAATATTGAGAATTCTCTGTATCTTCAGCATGTCTTCAAAGCCCCACCCAGTTCCCTTTTTCTTGCTCAAATTTATTCCTCTGGAATATTCTCTTGAAGTATTTGTGGAAGTGCCACACCAGTTTCCTCTCTAAGTTCTTTCTCTAAAGCTTTGACCCAGGTAAGAGGAGACAAAGTCAGATAGAAGTGCTAATGCTGACGCTTTGAGTGCTTAAATGATTCAGATCACATGATTCCAAGTTGGGAAAGAAGGAATCCTAGATTATTCCGTCACCCCTATTTAATCACCAACAATGCAGTACTTTAGTTTTAAATATTAGTAGTATATTGAAAATTATCCTATGATTAATTACCTTTTTGTCATTTAAGTTTTCCTCACATATAGCAAAATGTTACACAGCTTTGTGGTGGAACTTTTATTATTTTGAAGCATTGTTTAATTTTTTGCTGTACATGTCTTCTGTGTAGAACAGTGTGTGTTCCTCTAACATTATACTATTATATTGATTTTGTTTTTTAATCAGAGCTACATTTTCTAAGAGTAAATATAGATTTGTTTTATTCAAAGTAGCTATTATAAGAGCTGCCATTATTGACATCTCACTGTGTGCCCGGTAGTTTTCTCTGCACTCTACGTGCCTTAGTGCATTTAATGCTCACCCGTAGGCACCATGGTTATTTTCATTTTAGGGCAAAGGAATTCTAATGCCCCAAGCTCACCTAGGTAGCATAAGAGAGAACCAGCATTTCAGTCTATGCAGTCTTATTTCAAAGCATTTACTCCTAAGAGAGATAGTTAGATGTTACCAGATTATTTATTTGCTTGAGCAGAATTAGTCTTTACTCCTATTTTTTTTTTTACATATACTGCTTGAAGTATTTTCAAGACTGTCAAATAGTGCTTATGTGAGGCCATATAACTCAAAATTTAACAGTGAACAAATATAAAAGATAATGTAGGAATTAGTAAAAAATAGTAATAGAAATGAAAAATGCCTACCTAAGCACAACAATTTAATTTTATTACACTGAATTCTAGTTATCCCCTTATTTATCTAGCTTTTCAGGAAATTTTTAGGCAACTCTAGAGAACAAAGTTTAATTCTTTGTAACTGACACAATGATCCATGTAGTAGGTGTTCAAAACAGTTTTCTTTCATAGATAGAAGGATAGTCATGGAAGATAATATAACCAGGAGCAGAGTCTGTGGCCCATGCAGGTTAAAGAATCCCAGATGCCTTTCACAGAATATTCTACTTTTGTTTTTTTCTTTTAAGATTTGCTTATTTATTTTAGAGAGCGTGGCAGGGAGAGGCAAAGGGAGAAGGAGAGAGGGAATATCATGCAGACTCCCCACTGAGCACAGGGAGGGCTTGATCTCATGACCCTGAGATCATGACCAGAGCCCAGTTTGAGAGTCCTGGGCTTAACCAGCTGAGCCACCCAGGCACCCCTGGTCATTCTACTTTGGCTGCAGTCTTTAGAGTAGCCTTATGATTGATGTGAAACTCTACAGGGTGTCCCCTCTACTGAAGCTGTTATTATTCCATGAGTTAGAATTGTACTTTTATGATTTTTCAAGATTTTAATTTGGAAGTTAACTTTATTTGACTTTTTGTATTGAATTATATTTACTAGTGTTTATGTCTTAATTTCAACAGCATCACTGCAAAACTTGAAAGAGCTTTAGAAAAAGTTGCTCCTCTTCTTCGTGAAATTTTTGTAGACTTTGCCCCATTCCTATCTCGTACACTTCTTGGCAGTCATGGACAAGAGCTATTGATAGAAGGTATGATTTCTCTCTCTATTCTAATTATTTTAGTTTTCTATAATGTATCTATTACTCATGATATAATCTGTACTTCTGGAGGAATATTTATTGCCAAAAGAATATAAAGACATTGCTTCCACAAATTCCAATAAGATAGTCATACATGCTTTCTTCTTATTCATTTTTAAAAATAACATGTTCTCATAACAGAATGGAGAATTTTGAAAAAGTGTTAGACTAGGAGACTCTGGCTTTTATAATCCTAGTCTACCAGGGCTGCAGTGTATCCTTCATGAGGATGGTATGTTTACTAAGCAATATGCTCTAAAATTTCCTTCAAATCTAAGAGCCCTGCTTCTGTAAGTGATTTCTTATTCTTATAATATTTGTAATATGAAAATTCTTAACTGAAAAAATGTAAAGAAATATTTACCTGGAATTGATGAAGTTATTGTCTTTTTACTCAACAGCTGCTTAAATGGAGTGAGAAGGGAAAGCAGATAAAATGATTATTATGTATCAGTATTAGGAGAGCAGCTTTTAAAAATACGGTTCTCTGAAGCCTTATTTCTTTAAAAAGTTCATTTTATAAATATTCAAGAACTTCAGAAAGGGGTAATCCATATCTAGATGATCCTGTGCGTAAATAATGGCTTTAGGTACTATTCCTTGAATTTAGCAGCCTTATGTATGTTTTTTTTGCTTTTCACTTTCTATTTACTGTCATTTTCCTATGATTATTCTATCATTGTCTCAATTGCTTTTACACAATCTCTTTCTGTTAGGTGAGATAGTAATAGTTAATAGTCTGACTGGGTTTAAATCCTTGTTCTACTACTTCCTGGGCTCTCTGAACTTTTTGAATTATTTAGCCATTTTGTAACTTAACATTCTTTCTATAAAATATAATCAGTGATAGCACCTCCTTCCCAGGGTTCTTGTGAAGATTTAATTATATAATGCATATAAAGTTCTTAGAACAGGGACACACAGGTGAGCTATTTTTTTTTTTTTAAACACTGAATTCTTGTTCTAGGCCAAGCATTGTCTTAGGTACTTTGGAATGTATTAGTATATAACAGACAAAGATGTAGAATCTAAAAAAGGAAACAAATGAAAAAACAAAAGCAGAAACAGACTCATAAATAGAACAAACTGGTGGTGGACAGAGGAGAGGGGGATGGGGGATGGATAAAATGGGTGAAGGGGAGTGGCAGATAAGCTTCTGGTTATGGAATGAGTAAGTCATAAGGATGAAAGATTACAGCATAGGGGAATACAGTGAGTATTATTATAAAAGCATTGTACAATAACAGTTGGAAGCTACATTGTGGTGAGCATAGTAGAACATATAAAATTATTGAATCACTGTGTTGTACACCTGAAGCTAATGTAACACTGTGTGTCAACTCTACTTTATAAAACAAACAAACAAAAACAACCTTATTTAAAAAAAAAAAAAAAATCCCTGCCTTGTGGAGCTTATATTCCAGCAAGGACAGGACATTTAGGTAAGTACTGAACATAATAAATAAATTATAGAACATGATAGAAGATGGTCAATGCTATGTTAAAGGATAAGTCCAACACAGGGGTTTGGGATTCTAAAAATGACAGGGTTGGTTGCAGTTTATTTAATAAACCTCTCTTTAAAACTGCAGCCCATCTCTGCCATTTTTAGAATCCCAAACCGCTGTGTTGAACTTATCCTTTAACATAGCTTTAACCATCTTCTAACATGCTCTATAATTTTAAGTAGACCAATGGTAAAAATTACATTTAAGCAAAGACTGAAAGGAGGTTAGTCATATAGCTTACTAGAAAAGTGTTCTAGACTGAGAGAATATTTAGTAAAATGACCTCATAATGTGTTACTTTACCATAAGAAAAAAATTAATAAACATTATTGAAAAAATAAATCTTAAATGTTTTTTCATTCAGTAAAAGTCTTTTATTTTTCCTGTATATATTTTCCTAAAATGATTTGACAAATTTATATAAGGAAATATAAATAGTGGTCCAAGACATGCTAAAATAAACAGAGAACAAATTTAGAAATGTTAATAATGGTGCTTATAGTGCTATTAAAACTGGGACACAAATCAGCAGTAAGCTTTCTGGCAGCCAAAGCTAAGGAAGGAATTATTTTAAGTTATAAGAACCACATTCCTGATTCCTCAGTGACAGTTTGTGACAATTTGAAGCTCTAAGGAATTACTATCAGATAACACTTAACTGCTCTTTGTTGGTTAGGCAAGACCCCACATAGGTAGCCTCTTTCCAGAATTTGCTATGACCAGGCATCTGTAGTCTTTCTTATTTCTTCCCAGAACTGCAGTAAGAAGGTAGGAGAAAAAGCTGGGTAGGTAATTGAGAGCTGTTTTTCTTGGGCTTCCCTAAGTTTACCTAAAATATTTTGAGTTGAGTTGAAAGACTATTAAGAACATATCTCTTGGATTTTTAAAAAAGTGACTATGCTAAAAATGAAACATTGGAACATGTTATGAGTTGAAAGTTCATTTTGTGTTCATCTGGCAGAATACAATTTTATGTTATAACTTTTCTGCATCCAAAGAGTTTAATATACCCCATTTTTAAAACTATGTGGATATAATGTTGGTATTCCTTTTTTGTGTTAAAATTATTGTGCTTAATAAAATGATGATAGTAAATGGCAGAATTTTAGATTTTGAGTTGTATTTGTTAAATAGAAGGTTGACACAGTATGTCCTCAAATTTCTGCTGATCAATACAATCTAAAAGTCTAGAAACATCTGCTGTATAACAGAACAGCATTCTGTATCCCTCACAATTTAGTTATAACTTTGCTTTTCGGACTCAACTAGTCTCTGTCCTCTTGTATGGAAGACATTAATTAAACATGAAAAAAAGTTACACAATATTACATTTCCTTGTTTTTGTACAACTCTTCTGGATTGGATCTTTTTTCCTTTTTACTCTCCCCCAAATTATTCTCATCCTTTGAATTCTGTTTCAGATTCCTTAAGTCTAATTAATGTCTTCTCTTCTATGATCCTGTGCCATTTTACTTATACAATTTTGATAAAATTATTCATCACTTATAAATAGGAAATATCTTATTGTTTATATTGTATTATCTAGCTTAATTTGGTACATAATATTTAGTATTTTTTCCTTTTATACTTGACTAGAAAATTATTTTTGTTACTGATATTGGTAGGGGTAAGTTTTGAAATGAGGTGGTCAGACAAGTAAAATTTTGGGTTCTTTGGTAAGAATTCCTAGTATTGATCAGTCATCCACAACTGTGAGCTGACTGCTTTGCTCATCCAAGGTCTATTCTTGCTCTCTAACCCAGCCTCTGGAAATACATGTCCTTTCATGTTCTCATTCTTGAACATGTATTCTTGGTCATTCTTTCTTTTTCCTCCTCCTCTATTTTCCTCCTTTTTCTCATTTGAAACACTGTTCTCCTCTGAGAAGAAAAACTGTCAAACTATTATAAAAGACTCAGGAGATTTACATGATAAAAATTTTTTTTGTTAGCCATTGAGTATTTAAAAATAATGCTTATGATGAATATATCCCACTGCTTTTGACTTCATCATGTATATCTACATGTTAAGAACAAAGCTGAATTTGGATAACTGAAGGTATTTTATGTCTTAAGAAAAGAGAAGGCAATTATTCTTAGTTTCAAGTAACCATAAAGTATATTTGAATTGTATCTTTATTTGTTTTATATTCATTTGTTTTTAATTTATGCTTGTATTCATGTAGTTTTTTAATAAAATAATCATTGATATTTTGTATTGTCTATGTCCTTTAAAATACAAGCTAAAATGGTGTCCTTTCATTTTCTTAATATTTCTGTCACTTTTATTAGTCAATCTGTGTTTATTACTATTGTATGATTCTAGAGTACTTAATTTAATATAATTCTTAACATTTTAAGGTCATTCATTGACAGTACCTATTTTTATATGCCTTTTGGTGTGTATGTGTTTTCTCATGGCAATAATTAAGGATTTTTGGAGACAGTGGTTATTTGGAGTTTGGTGAACTTCTCTAAGAAAATCCTGGCTTTCAAAGGTGCAAACTAAAGTAAAGCGTAAAAATTAGAGTCGCTATGTATGCAAGTATCAAAATCCACCAGCCCAAGATGACAAAACAACCCTTGGTCCAACAGTTATATTTGCTTGGTTTTCTGCAGCAACGGAGGTTGTGCTGAAGGGGTCCAGTTGGAGATTGGAGGCTGTCAGGAAGCAGATTAGATCTTGCTAATTTTTATTCAAGAGTCCTAAGGAATACAGTGAGCCCAGAGTTATCATTAGTAATAAAGAATCAGTAGTCACCTAAGTTAATTAGAAGAGAAAATGTTTAGGGGTGTGTGTGTGTTAACCTCATATCCTTTACTCTGTCTTATTCCACCATAGCAGATTGTCCCTGAGAAATCACTGTTTATATTCTGTAAGCATTATTTATGTTTGATTAAGAACTCACAAGAGTATTAAAGGTAACTTAATTATGATGAGGATACAGCAGAAAGTCTTACAGCTACCAAAGACAGGAAATGAAAAAACAGGTAGACGTAAGGCAGCCTTGAAATGGGAAAGGAGAGTCAGTACCCTACTCCCTTTGACTCTCAAGGCATCTTTATAAAGCTTTCTATCTTGGCTTCTCTCTGTGTATTAACTCAATTTTTTACTTCTTTCTCAGACTAACCTCACATTTTTAGTCATCGGAACATGACGCAGTATAGTACCCCACCCTGACTCCAAATGTGCTTTTAATGTAAATGTCTTTCATCAGTTGACTATAGTCACTGTTTATGAAGAGAGGATCTGAGGGGCTCAGCCTTGGCTTTGGTATCTACCTCAGTTACAATCAGCTAATATTGGGGTAGATGGGAAGGGTGAAGTTGGATGTAATATATAGGCTGATTCCTTTAGAAGCTATACATTTAAGTTGAAACATCTTAGAAAGGGATGGTGGCAGTGCAGGAAATGTTATACTAAAGTGTCTGTTATACTTGT